ACAATCAATATTTAAAAAGTATTAAAGAGATAGTTTACACTCCTATTTTGAATTAAGTCTTTGAAAGTTGGAATACATTTTACACTTAAACCACAATTTGAATGAGCCCCATTTTGAGCTGCATTTGAACATGTGGCTGTGGCTAGCATGTTAGACAGCAGAGATCCAATACTAATAAGATGCTTGATCCATCTCCCATGCTCTTTTATAGGAGATGTTCTTTTTTTCCAAACTTATTCCTATTCATATTTTGAGATTCAGATCAGACAGCCCTTCTTATCTCCTCACCTGTGACAAGTACAGGCTCATATTCCATTAGCTGGTTGTGTGTTCCACCATCACAACACGTCCCAACACTCACTGAATTCATCTCTCTATGTCTGTCTCCAATGCAAGAACACTAGTTCCTCCAAAGCAAAATCCTACCAGACCTACTCACTTTCATATCTTAAGCACCTTGCAAAATGTTTGTGTACCAAAGCAAACAATTAAACCTTTGTTGAATTAAAAAAAAAAATCAGAATAGCATGTGCACCACTGAAATGAGCTGCACGTTTAAATTCTGGGTTCCTCCATAAACATTTCATATCCTTGGATAACAACGACAAATGCAAAGATATATTGCAAACATACCTAATCCTGTTTTTGGTTGTTTCAATGCAGCATTTACTTATAAAAACATTATACATGTGTCATAGCTTGAGTAGCATAAAGAAATTTAAATTTTGACGTTAAAAGGGATCTCAGATATGATCTAGTTATTTTACAAATGAAGAAAAAAAATAGGTAAAAGTATTTAAACGATAAATAAACATTTACAAAAGTAGCTAACGCAGAACTAGCACCATAACCACATGCCTAAATCCCTGTAGGTTTCCTTTGTACTACTCTGCTTGTGTGGTGTGTAAATGTGTAATTAAAATACATTTAAAATTAGAGAAAACTTGTACAATTAAAAAATCTAGTTGTTTGTTATTATTGATATAGTACCTTTCAAGATGGTCTGGCAGACAATGTACCACTTAACACATATTCCTTTGCTTCTCCTTCTGTTCATGCCACAGTGCCATATGGCTAGTTCTAGCCAAAGAAACAGGTGCAGAAGCAGTAATTGTCACCTCTGGGGTGTAGCATACTTTTCTCCCATGACCCTAGAACCAGTATGGAGATATCACTGTTACAGCTGCAATAGGCCTGCTATGCCGAGTTGCCAAATGGAGGGGTAGGCGTCCACAAGAACAAGAAATAAACTTTGGTCATGCTAAGTATCTGAGATTTTCAGGTTGTTTTTCAATGGTAGAAGTTCATGCTAAATTATCCTAAATAATAACTAACAGAAACCTAAATTACGTATCTAAGGAAGTATACCTTGAATAGAGTACCATGGCAAATGAATTTAACAATACTAAATACAAACCTACTTTTAATATTTTCTGCTATTTTTAGTTTAAAATGGCATGATAAACTATAAATTAAATTGCAGATGTATCAGATATAAAATCTTGTTAAAGATGTAAACTGTCAATATAGAAAACACAGAGACAAAATCAAATGCTGAATCAAGATTTTAGTACAGATTACTTTTTCTAAAATTGGCAATGTCCTCATGAAATGGCACTGAGCCAGGACCTAGTTTTCCTTTCACACTAAAATGGCTCCATGAGGAACTCCTATTGACATTATGGAAATTCAAAAAGGTTTCTATCATCATCCCTGAGAGCATTGCTGTATCACCTTCTTTCTGAAATTATAAAAAGTTTTTATTCACCACTGTCAGAAGTTACCTCTTATAAATTCTACTAGTTGCAATTATTTCCCTATCTATACATGTATTACAATATATCATTAATTAAAGGCCACAGATGCCATTTTGGGGAGAATTAATGGTATACACTTTGAATCTCCTGACTGTGCATATAGAGATGTCAGTATAAGATTGCATTGGAACATCTGGAAAGAGATAGTTAACATCAAAATTTTAGAAAAAATACTAAATTTTTTTAAAGGCAGAGCTGCTCATAGTGATAGTTATTTTTCAAACTGAAGGCCTTGTGTTTCAGCCAGAAGAGTTTCAACCAACTATGGCATGAATTTCCTGGATGTCTGATTTTTAAATTCATACAGAAAAACTTCAGACATATAGAAGAGATTATAATAGGTGCTTAGACTTTTAAATGCTGCTATGCCTTTGTAAGTAATGAATTAAACTAGATAATTCCCAATTATTATTACAGAGTAACTATGCAAAGCAATGCTATCCACATCTCTGAGATGACCAAGATTTTGGTCATGTTAATGTTTCCCTGAAGTACATTTCCTTGCCATTCAAAATGTGTACTTTGTTGGAAAGAATTTTATTATAAGTAACACAACTTGTTTTAACTAAATGGTTAGCAGATTACTTGTGCTTCATTTAATATATGGCTGAATGTCTTTGAATTTGCAATACACAGAATTTTATAAAAATCAAAATATATCTGGGACATTCATAGATTCATTTTGCCTTATATTTTCCCTATCCCTCATTTCTATTTTTATGGGTGTGGTTTTTGTTCGTTTGTTTTACTGTAGGGCTTGTTTTCCTGTAAGTATCCTCATAACTTCTGTGTAATTAGGGAGAACACACATAACCAAGTAAAGAGAGAAATGATCATATCTGACTTATCAATAGAGTTTTTAGAAATCTAAAATATAACTCACAGAAGCATTTCTTCTTGATTCTTAGAATCGGTAACAATTTCTAAAGCCTTCCCCATCCTGGGGGCCTGGAAGGATCCTCACTGGCACCTAAGTAACAACTTAAGTAACAGCAATAAGCCCTAAGAACTCAGTGTTCATTGTTTAGGGCGAGGTCTGCTGAAATAGACTGGTGCAACAAAACTACTTAATAAATAGCAATTACTATGTCAATCATTATCATTACCATCACCCTAGTCAACCCATCGCCTCCCTAGACAGACAGAAAAGATTCCTGGCATAGAAGTTCAATAGTAAAAGCCAGAAATGTAAAGCGGGTTGAAGCAGCACCAAAAAATAAGACAGGTAAGCCCTGGATGGAATTTCAGAATCACATACAAACATATTACACTGCTCTTCCCTAGCTAACTCCCATTCATTCTTCAACCTTAGGCTAAAAATCACCTTTCAGGATGCCTTCCGTGACCTTCTTGGATTAGGATAGCATGGCATTCCCTTTCCAATACGTCCATAAAACTTTGCATTAACCTTGCTGTATCAGTTATTCACTCAAAAATTGTTTTTTGAGCCCTTACTATAGGCCAGGAACTATACCAGGTAATATGAACACAACATGAACATAATTCTGCTGCTTTTCTTAGAGTTCCAATCTGTTAATGATCTCACCTTTCAGCCAAATGCCCAAAATCTGTCTTGACTCTTTCCTCCCATCCATTTCACATTAAACGAGGTACTAAGCCTTGAGAATTTTTACCTCTCTCCACCCAAACCACCACTGCTTACCTAGCACAGCTGTTCATCCTCTCCCCTGGGAACTATTCCCACAACCTCCAGTCCCTATCTTTTGCAACCCAACCTACACACCTACAGCTGGAGCTCCTAGAATGAAATCAAAGTATCGTGCTCTCATGTCAAATATGTCTAGAGTTTCCCCAATGTATCTGGTGATTTCCCTTGGTTCCCGTATTCTCCCACGTACCATGAACTTCTGCCATATTAAACTATAATATTTGTAGTTTCCTACATATATTCTACTCTTTTATGCTTTTCAATGATACTACATATATATTGACTAAAAGAATGAACAAATAAAGGTATCCATATTTGTATGCTTAATAGGCCTTCTGTTTGAATTGTCATTTGTCTCCAATTTTCAGCATCTTCATCACATTGCATTCCAAATGCTTAGCACAACATCTGCAACCTAGAATGGACAAATAATTGATGGACAAATCATCTCCCATAGCTTAGGACACAAAGTAGAATACAAACAAGTAGAGAGCAATGGTTTTCTCTTTCATAAGAAAAGCCTTTGCTGTTTCCTTCAGGAACATGAACTATGCAAGTCTTGAGAGGAAAAATCAGAATAACCTATGAGAGCAGCCTGGGAGGAGACATGCCCTTCTTTTTTATTTTAATTTTAACTCAGCAGATATTGACTGAGGCACTCTAAAGGTAGCACCACATAATGGAAACAGATTGCCCTAGGAGTCAGAGAACCTGAAGTAAATTCTAGTACTGATTCTACCTCTAATAAGTTGTGTGACCTGGATCCTGCTGTATCAGAAGCCAGCCTACCCCATGGATCTCCTATTATGCAAGCAATTAAAGCCCCTTTTTCTGCTTTAGTTGAGTTTCTGATGCTTGAAAGTAGGAGTGCTGACTAATATCCCATTCTTATGATCTCTTGTGGTTGCATTACTATGTGGGTAGGCCAAAACATGCCATAGAGAAAGCGCATTTAGATTATAGCAAAGCATTTGGCCTAAGTCTCTTAAGATTTCCCCATTGAGGGCTCCATTACTCAATTAGATAGACTTGAAACTTGTTGAACCAATATATGCAAAAATGTCCTGATTAACAAATATGCACCTATGGAGAGAGGTCTCTTGTGTCATGTTATAAGGCCTGAACTGCCCCTAGTATATTTAAGGTTGCCAACAGGCATTTAGAAGAAGGAGAAGCATGCCTACCAGACTTCTAGGCCTCTCATAGCTGGAAGAAATAGTTAATATAATAAATGTATGAGTCAAATTCAATGGCCTAAAGAGGCCCAAGAGGATGAATCTAATAAGGATAGAGAAAAGGCCCACTTTGGGCCACAGGCCTCTGAAATGACCCATATCTTCAGTTTTTCACCAAATACATTTGGAGATATTACCTAGCCTAAGAAATGAGACTCTTCTGTTTTTCTTTTTGATTTTTTAATACTTATAATTAAGTTTCTTATATATTGAGCACTTTTATTCCACTTAGAAGATAGGGTATTCTTCTTTTCTTTTTTAACCTCACCTCCACCCTCACCACATAGCTCAGGGCTAAAAGGGCCACTGTGGGGAGCAGGCATCCCCAGTCAGGCACAAGCATGTGCTCTGGGGCTGAAGTCTGACCCCCACACCACGCACAGGCACAGCAGGGATTCAACAGCAGTGCCTGGGTATTATTTCTTAATTGTACTGTTCTTAGAGTTATTTGAGAAAGTTGCCCATTTGTGATTAATTTTTTTTTTAATTCTTTTGTGTTTGAGTCTTAAGGCCTTTGGGCATATGCACCTGAAAATTAAAATTTATTATACTAGCATAATGAAATCAAAATGATTTTATGTAGCTTCATGATTTATATTTATTTGGAAAGTTATTTTAAGTATAATTTATAGGTTATTCATCACAAGCACAACTGCTTTTGTTTTCCTCATTCTCACCAACAAGAAAATCTCAAGATTTCTTAAATCCTCCTCATGTAACACATTATTTGGCATCTATTATTCTTTCTTGAAATTGCTTCCATTCCTCTACTTTTCCTCTTATTGACTGGTTTTGACCAGCGACTCCAGCCAATTTGGCCTGGGCCCGGGAAACACAATCGCCTCCTTGCCACTTGCCCACTGTGCCTTCAAGGTGAAGGGACCTTCAGTCCTCTCTGAGCCCAGGGGAGAGTGCAAGAAATAAACCCTGGCTCCGATCCTCCTGCCCTCGCTAGCCCTGAGGAAAGGAGAGAATAGGAAAACTCATATTGGATTCTAGCACCAGACACACCTATAAGAAAAGTCCTGCACAGATGATGGGAGGGTTCAGGGAATTGGCACAGCCATTAATAAATAGTAGCTCATTTTTTCATCTGGATATTATTTTTGTGATTTCATATCCTCGAAAATCTCCAAAAGATCATGAGGATGGTGGCAGGACTCAAGATGAAGCTCAGAACCTGACCTATTACTTATGTAGTCTAGCTCATTGCTTTGTTTCACCATCCACCCAACCATTTACTCATTCAACAAACACTGATCAATGTGCCAGACTCTCTACAAGGCACAGAGATGACAAAGATAAGACACAGGCTCTGCACTCCAACAGTTCAAATTCCTCCCATTCATTCTGTCGGACTCCATACACATTGCCTTGGGGAACTTCAGAAGCTTAAAAATTAGGAGAAAAAACAGACTATGCTATGCTAATAGAAAGGTTTGGAGAAAGTGTTCTTTGAGGCTTTAGCTCCATGGCTCTCAGAGTTTCATGGAAGGAAGCTGGACAGGACGGAATCATGCAGAAAAGGCAAAGGGGACCAAGTGAGTCCACCCCAAAGTGATCACATCTGCCAGCCCTGACAACAGCAATGTTTCCCTCTTTAGATAACCATAGAAATCACTGAATTAAAAACAAAAACAAAAATGCAATGAGGCACTATCTTTGTTTAAAAAGAAAGGGGAAGGGGTGAAAACAAACCAGCCTATCCTTTGCCTTTCCTATTTAACTATATTACTGCTCCTTCTTGCCATCTATCTAGATAATAATTTCTGTAATCCCCAACCTGACAGAGACAGGCCTCACAAAAAGCTAATATTACAGTTAACACCAGAGCTCTACATTAAATAAGAAAACAAAATTGGGAGATATAATGTATTTTGAGTAGAAGGAAAATAAACCAAAACTGTGTATATATATAAACATGAGGAGGAATATACATGTGTTATGTGGTGGTAAATATAGATACTGTATTGTGGATAATGCTCTTCCCAGTAACCTGTTTAAAATAGCAAAACAAAACAAGAAAACCAGTACACTGCAGCAGGTATCCGCATAAAGAAGCCACCCACTTCTCGAGAACAGAGTCTTGATGCTCTGCCTACCCTCCTTATGTCCCATTACTTCACAGCTTCAGCAGCAAGCTTGATGTTTTACCCTCCTGACATCTTTCCTCACTCATCAGCTACTCCGTGGGAAAGTAAGTCACTTAGATGTCATAAGAACCCCTCACCAGATCCTTAAGAACCCACTTTCCATGCACCTGCACCCTTCGAATCTGTCCATTTTCTGAGCTCCATCTAAATTGTAAAAACTGCCCTAACTGGTTTGGCTCAGTGGATAGAGCATTGGCCTGTGGACTGAAGGGTCCTGGGTTCAATTCTGGTCAAGAACACATGCCAGGGTTGCAGGCTCGATCCCCAGTGGTGGATGTGCAGGAGGCAGCCAGTCAATGATTCTCTCTCATCACTGAGGTTTATCTCTCTCTCCCCTTTCCTCTCTGAAATCAATAAAAATATCTTCTATAATAAAAGCCTAATATGCTAAATGCCTGACCATTCCACCATTCGACCAGTCGCTATGATGTGCACTGACCACCAGGGATCAGATACTCCGACTGGTAGATTAGCTTGCTGCTGGGGTCTGGCCAACTGGGACTGGGTGAGATGGCCAGACATGCCCTGAAGCCCTCCTGTGGTCCCTTCCCGGCCCCAATCATGCAGCGATGGGGTCCCTTGGCCTGGCCTACACCCTCTCGCAATCTGGGACCCATCAGGGGATGTCAGAGAGCCGGTTTCAACCAGATTCCCACAAGCCAGGTCGAGGGACCACATCTATACACAAATCCGTGCACTGGGCCTCTAGTATTTAAATTAATTAATTAATTAATTAATTGTTTTAAAAGGGGGGGGGAGCCACATTTATTCTGTCACAATCTGCTCATTTCACCATATGTTTACTAAAATTTCTTTGTGAATTTTCATCAGCTATATTATGTGAGCTAGAAACCATTTACCAGACAGAGGTCCAGCTGAAACCATGGGTTATCCTGGAGTTCCATGATAAGGAAGGATAAAGTGAGTGGAAATGGACAATGTTGAATATTTGGTATCTCAGAAAGAACCTGCTCACAACAATTGGGTTGGGTAAAATGAAGTCTTGGTTCTGGACAGCCAATCTATACACAATGTCCTTTCTATTCCTTAGGACAAAAAACTTTTTGTTTTAGCCTGATATCAGGGATTGGAAGCTGGCCCAAGGGCCAAATCTAGCCATGCCCATTCTAGCCTATGTGTTGTCTGTGGATGCTTTTACACTTCAATGGCAGAGTTGAGTAGTGACAAAGACCAGCTGGAGACAGACCCACAAAGCTGAAAATATTTACTATCTGGCCCTTTACAGAAAACCTTGCTGATTCTTATATTTATCATTAAATACTGCCAATTGTTCCTCTAAAAAACTTCTTAATTTCATAATGCCCTCTTATTTTCAGTGATAACACTGTGATTCAAGCTCTTTCTTCATGGTTTGGGGTACCTTCCCTCTCTACTCACCCTGCACACTGCTGCCTGGCTGATCCTCTGACCACTTATTGAATCCTCTCACACCCACGCTGCCCAAGGACCTACATGCTCTTTACTGTCACCAAAGCCAATTTCCTAATTTTACCCTTCAGGGTTCAAGTCAGCTGTCTGTCTCCCTTCTGTCTCAGCAGCATCCAGCTCTGCTCACACTCTAAGCTCTCCTCCCTCCCCCAGGCTCTGCTCCCATATCCTGCAGGGGATCTCAGGTCCACAGATTCCCCACTGGGCACTCCATATTCTGTTCGCTGTGCAATTACTCACTCACATTCAGTTCATTTCTTACTAAATATTTGCTCACTTTATAGGTAACAAAAAATAAGTTAGGATAAAGACTATAGTAAGAGAGATGCTGCTGAGAGAAATTCACTTGGGAGATGATTCTCTCTTAGACATGATTTCCTAAATGATATGGCATCTCAACATGTGGACCACCTAAACTCAAGGCAAAAAAGGCTCCTATCTCCTTGCACATGGCAGTTAGGGTTTACATCACACAGTTACCTGTTTTCATGGTACTTTATATTTTTGCACTTTATCTCCTCAAGCAATTTATAAGTCCCCATTGAGATATGGAATATGTATTGCAGTGCTATAGACTAAAGAGAGGAACTAAAAAATAATTGATTGTGAGATACAGAAGTATATTCTTTTTTTTTAAAATATATTTTATTGATTTTTTACAGAGAGGAGGAGAGAGGGATAGAGAGCTAGAAACGTCGATGAGAGAGAAACATCAACCATCTGCCTCTTGCACACACCCCACCGGGGACGTGCCCGCAACCAATATACATGCCCTTGACCGGAATCGAACCCGGGACCTTTCAGTCCGCAGACCGACGATCTACCACTGAGCCAAACCGGTTTTGGCCAGAAGTATATTCTTTAATAAAACCTAATGACTTCTTCACTTTCTATATCTACATATGAAAAACATGAACTTGCTTAGCAGATAGTGTGAATTTGGGAAGAAAAAGGCAACAGCTCTGGCGGGGCATGTCTGGGCATGTCTGTCCAGCCTCAGACACCGGTTTGGATGGTCAGGGCTCTAAGAGATTGAATGTTTATAAATATACTGTTCTGGAAACTGCTGTACTTCCAACAAAATAACAAATCTTGCTGTAAATTCCCTAAGAAAGAAAGGCTAAAAAATGTTCACCCAGGTTTTGCCTTCCTTCTCTGTTCCTCTGCTCCGCTTGGTCTTTTCTTCACATGTCATCATGATGTGCCAGCACCACCCTCAGAACCCAATCTGCTTTGTGATCGCAGAGATCGTGGCCAGCCAGGACAGCCGCTGGAAAAGGATCAGGCTTTTAAAAGCTCCAATTATAACCTGAGCCTCTCTTAAAAGCTATTATCATATTCTCTTAAAACCATCTTGAGACCCTCCTTCCCCGCATATTCCACCCCAACCTACCAATTTATGACTCTTGACTGGGACCTTTCACTTCTAATTGCTTTTCTAAACATAAATGAAAGTACTAAATATTAATAACTAAAAGAAGAGATGAAAAGGAATATGCTTCAAATTCATTTTTAGCCATTTTAAGTCAAAAGGAGCAAAATGTCAGCCTTAAAAAAAAAAGCTGCTTTTTTTTATGAATTGGTACAATAGATTGGAAATAATGCCTCAAACCCCAAATGGATTTTGAATATAAACAGTTCAGTTATGTGTCCACTTTCTAAGTCAGTGTTAGCCAGTATGGTCACATTAACAGGAAAGCTAATCAGGAAAAGGAGAGGTAACTAACTGCTATTGTCAACCACACTGCTAATGTGTTAGGTGCCATCAATGTTTGGCTGCCAAGTTCTGAAACCTCCGTCTTTGAAA